AAACTGGCGAGGGGGGAGAGGTAGAGGGATAGACCTCGTTATCGAATTTAATTAAAACTAAATCGACTTAAAAAAACTCATATACGTTGGTAAACAGTGCCAGTCGAAACGTTGAACTAAAATGACTACATTTTTTGTTAAAGAAATCTCGTCTTCCCGAATCCCTGTAGAAAGAACGTAATAATTATGTATAATTAATCTAATTCACTGTTACGATTTACAAGTATTAAAATGTTTACCGAAGTGAGAATGTTAATTTCTATCCAAGGAGAATTTATTTATACGGAGTGATATGGGTGATGTATTACCCATTTCCTTGCAGCTGAGCCTGTTTTTATGCAATTCAATTTTTTTTATACATATATAGTTTCTTAAAAATACACCATCTGACATGGTCCATGAATTTATACGTACTTCCTTTTATTTAGTAAACAAAGTAATCAAAAGGATTAATTTGTGTCCCAAACGTTTCTGAGATGTATTTATGAACTCGGAACATAATATAAATTGTGTTCTATAAGTTCATGAAAAACATACAAGATCGATAATATTGTATAATATAATACAAGTAACTTGTATCGTCCCGGGGAATGTCGGTATCTCGCGGAATGAGCTTGCCGATGTCCTAGCTCTACTTATAATATTTATCTGTTAGATCTCCCACTGTGTCCTTATTCTGATCTAATCCCTATTCTCCGCCGATTAATTCTAAGTCTTGGGGAACTAGAAAATGGAAAAATCTTCCTACGCCTCTGTATATAGAGTAATCGCCCCTAACATTCCGATTTCACCATGGTTCCAGTCTACCTTAGGGTCAATCAGTCGCTCTCTAAATTGTTATGTTTACTAGACTACACATGGGCCACAATTTGTTATTAAAATTTCTTTCCAACGGCGGTGGTAAATGTTACGATTTTTTCCACTTTTTAATATCTTGTCCTAATCTCCACTTTAGTAGGCTAAATTTAAAAATAGTTTTTTTTTCTCTTCATGTGAATGTTTCTTATTCCGACGTTCTTTCCTCCAATAATGAAATAATAATTAAACAGTTAATCAAACTGGAAATTTAATGAGCTGGGTTTTATAAGCGAACTTAATTTGTAGATCTAATTGTCGGGGTATATTAATCTATGTTGTTATTTATTTAAAAAAAAATAAAAATTATAAGAATAAGAATATACATGTAATTATACAACATATATTATGTATATTATGTATATAATAAATATATGTACATCAATATTTACTAATAAAAATTGATTATTTTCAAAATCACCATAATAAATTATTATGAATAACAATTTACTAAGCTAAATAAATATACAGTAAAAAAAAAACCAAAATAATATGAAGTGAATAAAAAATAACGGACGGACATAATTCGCACCTTCTCGTACCACGTATTTGTGTTCATACTCTTCCGAAATGTTATGACCGATTTTAATGAATTTTTTTTGTATAATTGGTAAGCCTGGAAATAGGTCGTAAAGTATTCTTCACCCCTACCTCCCGCCCATTATTTCTAATCTCGATTTTAATATTTTATAAATATATAAGCGAAAATACTACACGACCATATATATACACGAGCACCACCAAATAATTTAGCTTATAATATAATAGATACAATTTTTTCCGTTGATTTTTGTTACGCCGGTAACAGGGATGAAAAATAATGTTGATTAAATGTTATTAGAAATTTGTCTGAAAATATCTTGTGATCGTCAAAATCGGTCCAGCCGTTTTCGAGTTATGAATGGTGCAACTAACCCGACTCGGTTTTATAAGATTTCTGTTTACTCAGGGGTTTCCACGGAGAAGAAAACTATTACAATTATTATTATTTACACTGTTCAAATTTCACAGTGGAACGTCGAAAGTGGACTACCCACTTTCTACCTAGTTGTTTTCATTGTGTTCTAACATGGCCAAAACCAAAAATGAACACGAGTAAAATAATAACAATATAAATTGGCACGGGCAACGCCCGGCGCGGAACGTTTAGTGTATTAATAAATATTGTTCATTGTCGCTGTTTTAGGATTATCTCCGGGACAGTGGGACCCACAGCAGTGATCAGTAATTATTAATTTACTTATAATACAAATACCGCGTGTTCTTTTGTTTGTTTTATTTCAATATGATAGGTATTCAATATGTAATTTGTAGCCGGTTAAATAGTATACAAACTTACGTAACGACACTTAAGCGGTTGCCTTGCAGACGTCATAATAATATTTTGTTAGCAGTTAGCGATTAACGAAAAATGATTAATGTGTAATAGAATTGATTACGAATTATTAATTTATACAACAAAGTACGAATATTAGAAAAATGCACATATTTATAACTCTATTGTAATGAGTGATGGGAATGACACGAACACTGAATAGTGAATAGGTACCAACACGGATCTACGGAAGGCCGTCAAAATCTTGAACGGCAACAGCTCGAATAGCAAAATCTCGAACCGACTAATTTTCGTCCCTTAGAAAATGATCTAATAGCTATTGCCGATTCAAGAGTTTACCGTTCAAGATTTTGCCGTTCAAGGTGTTGACGTAGACTCGGATTTACAATTTACATTCAACGGGTTCCGGTATAAACCATAGAAAACATACTGTTTACAGTTGTTGACATTAATATAATATTACAATATGGATACAGATAATACCATTAATAATTAGACGAAAAAATCCTGAAATATAAATATCGTTATGTTAAAAATATTTTATGATATCAAACATAGAACACAGATCAACTATTACGGTTTTACTATTACAGATGTAATGGTAAAACGTCGCAGTACTATTTTAAACGTTTTATTAACGAAACATAGGGCCAGTTGCAATTTAAGTATACCAGCTCTAAGTTGATTTTGAAACATCACAATGTGATGTTATAAATGTAATTTATACGCATACATCGCAGGCGTACAAAAAATGTTTAATGAGTAGGGTTAATTAACTACTATTCGAAAAATGTACGTCGAAATGCGATTGTTAAAGTGTACACTGTACATAAATACGTACCCACTGTTCCAACAAATAGAACGATACCTACAGTGTCGGTGATCATACAATGTTATTGTTTTCATGAAAATGTCTTTGAAAAAAAAAAAAAAAGATGAAAACTACAAGATAACAATAGCAATAAAATTTCAAGTTTTAATAATACGGCTAAGAACATATTGCAGTTACATAAGATTAATAGAATTCAGTGTGTATAGACTAAAAAGTACCTAAATAATTGTTGTTAGGTTTGTAAAATCGTATATGATAAGGGGTCACTTGATTGTAAAAACGGCAAAAAAATGAATTGGTTAAAAAGTACGTAAATTTACGTTCAGCCGTAAAATTTATCGAGTTCACATCCTTAACTGTACTCGAATCGGAACAAAACGAATCGATAACAAAAAATAATTTTCAACACGTACATATTGCACGTGTTTCTCAACCCCTATAAATCAGCAGCAACTATGGCCATATGTTACCCCATATGTTCCCGGCAGCTATTATACTGTTAAATCAAATATAGAATCATTTTGCACAACATGGACGATGGCGTTATTGTATAAAATCTGTGAGTCATTAACGAACATTTCGGTCTAGGTACGTTGTTGTTGTTTAAAATATAAACAAAAAAATCGTGTTTGAGAAACAACAGTGGAAATGATTTTATATCGCGGATTTTTCGATGAAGACTAGCTGATACGTCGTATACTCTGCTTGATAATTCTTATCAATGCTCAGGTTTTGGCCAAACTAAACAACACCAAGTAGCACTAGAGTCACAGTTGATGATGGCAGGATGATAGATTTAAAAAATAAAAACGGGACAAAATATTACCAACACCTAAATAATAAACGACATTTATTTCTTTATGGTAATAAACATACAAAATAACTCAATAATAATTATAATTAAAAAAGACGAACTTGCTTTGCACGTGGGTGTAGCCATTATTGTAGGTGGGAAGTTGGGAAGGTAAGATACAGAAGGGGATTTAATGTACATCTGTAAACTACGATAAACTATTGCTTCCGAAAAAACGATTCTGAGCGGAGTTCAGTGATGCTTTGTCAACATTATATATGTATGTCATATTATAGTGCAATAATAAATAATTAAAAAGGCATTATATTTTTTTTTTAATATTGTATCGTTTTTCCCGGTTTTTCACATTTGTTGGGAAAATCAAAAAATGACATTTTAAAGTATCTTCTCAGTCAGGATTTCTTTCAGAAAATCCGCTATTACTGTAAATCGGGGCAAAATTGCTAATGGAAAAGTTGTCTACGGAAAAAAAAAAAAATCAGTAATATTTTACTAACATATCTTGTACATTTGATCGTTTTTCATATTTGATGAGAAAACACCAGGTTTTGCATATATTTAAAAAAACTTGAACCTATAATTTTTGTTATGGTTCATTAAAAACATACTTAAATTTCGCTCTCGGCATAGAAAACAAGTTAAAAAATACCATATAGATAATAACTGCGGTGGAATTGTCTTTGTTTTTTGAATTCAGTTATGTTTATTATTTATAAATATTTATTCGGAATTCGGAAAGTACAATTTATTTTTTATTTATTTTATTTTTAGGACGTCATATTCATCATCATATTTTAACTAATACGGGGATGCCGGAACGAAACCATGAAATACGGGAAAGTACAGCATTCCTACAGTTATGTAGGAATATTAATAAACGAGGGAATATCTGTTTATACATTAAAAAAAGAAAAAATTGTTATTTAATTTAAAAAACAAAAACTATAGTTGTTGTTTACCGAATCAAATATGAATATCGTGAATTTTTACGCTCGTGGAACTACTATCGTATTTTTAATGTTTATTATAGATACCCGGATTACCAAAGTGACACCTAGTTATATAAATTGTTTGGTTATTAATACAAATTATAATAAATTAAGTTTCACATTCTGTAAAAAAATCAGTTAAATTATTTTTTTTAAAGTAAAAATAAAATAAAAATGGACACGGCCGAACAAATACTGCCCGACAGAATAATCGACGATTTACAAGAAGCCGACAAAAACATCGTTAAGATTACCGAAATTGTACTAGTACTCCGAAGCACCAAACAAAAATTGAATTCAGTAAGTACTTAACTATAATTAATTTTACTTAAGGATATTAAGTTAATTAATTTCTTTAATTATAGTCTGAGTTGAGTTATCTTTAAAAAAAAAAAAAAAAAAAAAAAAAAAAAAAACACAAATAAAATTGAATAACTAAATTTAAGCCTAGCTTTTTTTGGGTTTTCGAGGAGGAAATAGAAGTCTGTAGGAATGTTCAAAGCTAACAAAAAACACTTCATCTCTCCCGCAAAATATGCTCAAATTCATATTGGAATCCATGCCGACCTTTACAACCTACTACAAAATGCCTATAATAAAACCTCCGCGATTTCAGAGTTTGGGCTTATCTGGTCTAGAGGGTGTACAAAAGTATTGGGAAAACATATATATATTATATTATAATATAGGTATAACAGTGGCGCCAAATTTATATATTAGGTGTGGCGCCTGTCACACCTTATTTAATACCCCTCTAGAATTGATAGTTTAGCATAAAACATGATACATTTTACAATTAATATAAGGAACAGTAGACATAACATTACGAATAACGCGAACTAGTCTATTCGGTCTTCCTAGACTGCCGTAGCGTGTTTAAATTGCATTAGTAAAAGCAGATAACTATTTAACTATATCTGTAACGGAACAAAAACTATTAATTAAGATTAATAGTTTTACGAAAAATAACCTGCAATAGTACCTAATAAATTTCTAAATCTGCAGCAGCGGCCATAGCTAGTTCCCGGTGTTGTACACAGGCTATACACAGTATAAAAAAATATACACTATATTATTGTTATTATTTAACTGGTTTCGGTTATATCCGAGATTACACCTAAATATTTTTGTACTTAATGAAGGAATTATATAATTTTGCATAAATTTAGAATGTCTAAAAACATTACGATAATCAAACAAAAAACAATGAAAATATATTTATATTTAAAAAGATGAATATACTTCACAGTTCATACAATGGTTGGGCCACTGTTGTAGGTGAGAAGTTTGGAGAGTAAGTAAATAGGAGATTTTATTGTAAATCTGTACCGAACGATTAATCATTGAACAAAAAACGATTCTAGTAAACTCAACTTTTTCTTGTTTTCCATTAACTACAGTATATAATGAATTTCCTGTTAAATTGTCAAGCAATTTTGTTTGATCTAACAATTTATCAAAAGAGTAGGGGCTATAATATACTGCAATATATAATAATAGTCTTTATTTTAAGGAAACAGATTTTTACAAAAAAAAAAAAAAAAATGTTTCCGTTGATATTAACTAATCGTGTATAAGTATCCAGTAATTTCACTATTCGATTTAGATAGAAACTAGAACTCCCGAAGAGGAAATACGTTTGGCGCACGTGAATGAAGAACTCGATCGGAGACTGAAAGAATTGGACGAACAATTCGAATTAGTCAATCAGGCGCTTACGAAAATGCAGGAACATACGCAAACGATGATCTGTAATCAAAATGCCAATACTACATGTGACAACGGCACATCGAATGTGGGTACCTGTATTATTATATACATTTTGGCGGATTCACTTTTCACGGATTACGATAGTTAAAATAACTATTATTTTTATAGGCGATCTGCTGCGGTTCGACGGAAGATTTAAAAAAAGTCGTTATACTCAACTGGGACAAGAAGAAAGAAAAACCTCCTCAAATTATGGTTCTGAAATCCACGGTTGGTTTTCATAGATTAATTTAATTTTTTTATCGTATTTGTCTCCCATTAGCTGCGGAACATTCATTTCTATATACGGTTATAGGATAACTGTGCGGATGCAGTGTGCGGTAATGACCGGAGTAATTGTTCTTTATTTTCCGTATGTGAAACGGATAACGATGTGAAGAGTTGCTGTTGTCAGTCGTCTTCCGATATATGCGAAAAGTATTATTATTGTACTATTTATTTTGTATTATATGAATTTTTATTTCATCACTAGATCACCTGCAGATTTTCAAGAGTCTCAGCTTTCAATGCAACCTCCTCCAATCTGCCTGAAATTATTCCCAAATATTTTCCAATTTCTCTAGATCTCTCAATTCCATTTAACATACGCTTTTATTTTGCCTGTTGGTTTCCATTTTGTAGCTGCTTTGATTCCGTTCACTTTTTCCTTGTGCATCGCTATAAGTATACATTTTATGTGAATTAGATTTCTGATTTTTTTTTTCATCATTATGGAATCGTTTGATTTATTTTAACAATATATTCAATGAGAAGATTAAAATAACAATATTTTCACTCATTTTAATCTTCTCCTTATGTCTGAAATGAGTATTCACTTTGAATTTTGATAGCGACGCCCCTTCAATCACAGATTCAAATAGAGAATAATTTATTCTTTTATTCTATTATATAATATTAGAGAAGGGTAATACATTTCATATATTAAATAATAATTGATAAATTTTCCTTATTCCTTTGGTATAAGCCTTTAACTATTCTAACTCAATAATCTGATGAAGGCATACATATTAGTATAAATTTCATATATTTCTTGAAAGCTATTCTCTATTTCACAATGATAAAAAAAAAATTTGCTAGATCACCTAATTTAACCTCCGAGAATATATTGCTTGTTCGTGATAAAATATTTACCATTTATTGTCTTAAATGTTTTTATTTACAATTATTTGACAATATTTGTTTGTGTTTGCTATGATATTTGAAAACTATAGACCGAGGCTTATGATTTTGTATTATATTATTTTGATAGAAGTGATGAATCAGTACAAGAAGACGAATCGATGAACGCGCAAATGAAAAGCAAAATTTGTATTCTCAACGAACAGTTGGAAAATATCTTGAACAAAAATCAAAATGTTCGACTCAAACTGAAAAATGCGGTTCGTTATGGATTTTTTTGAAATTCGGAATGTTTAAACCTATTGTAGATCCTATTAAAATATTTTTTTATAGATCCAACAAAACGATTTAATGGAAGAAGCTCTAAAGCGTCCCGTAAGTGAAACTATACAGGGTGATTTTTTTTATCATGAACCAGCAATTTTCTCGGAGTTTTTTACGTTAATTTGATGTTTGTTTTTTCTAATCATTATGAAATCGTGTAAGCTTTATTTTAAAACCATCTATTTTAAACTTTTACCCCTACTCCATGTACCTTAATTAAGTACATACTTTTGATTTTCAAATAAGAACCTCTCCTTTTGAATACAGAATATAAAATATTTGTCTAAACATTTTGATATGCATTACACTAATATCAAATCTACCGTTTATAAATTACAACCATAAACCTATAACCATATGGATAGCGCCTTTCTCGCCGCCTTACCACTACAGCTCCGGGACCGTATATAGTGATAGAGAAAGAACATAACAAAAGAAATTATGGAAGAATAACTAAACTTTTTCCATAGATCTGATAACATATTTATAGGTTTATACTTTTTTCCATTTGCATTATGAACACTATTTGCAATACTTAATACTAATTATTATCAATGTTTTTTAAATTAAAAAAAAGTCTTAACAAGAAAATAAATTGCAAAATAAAAATAAAATTACAAAATTATTATCAGGTCTATAGTAACAAAATAAAAAGAACAATAACCTCAAAAATAATGATTGGTCCAATTTTATTGTAATATAATTTCGTATTTGGCCGTAGAAACAATTTATTTTCCTCACCAGTCTCTTTTCTCTTTCTAACAATCTCGTACCCATGTCTCTCTCTAAGCGCAATCCATATATTATCAGGTCTATGGTTATAACAGTTTTAAGTTTTGACCGGAGGAGAAAGGAAGTGTTATTCATAGGCAATTTTCCGAAATAATCACTGATTCATGATAAAAAAAATCGCCCTGTATACAATATACATGAAACAATTATAAATAGTTGCTTGTTTTGTTTTATTTGAGGCTCCGTTCAAGTACTCAGCAACGGAAGGAGTAAGATTTCCCGGGAAAAAAGAAATGGTAAGTAAAACTTATTTGTAAAACATGAATTATTTATAAAATCGCTAATAAAAAATGATACTATAGAAATATAGACTGTAGAAAACGGTTACAGTTAAAAAAAAAATATATTGAGTGCAGTGATCTGGTGTTAAATTATAAATTCCGGATTTGAATGCAATTGAAGGTCTCAAAATAACATGCATTTACGCATCAAAAAACAATAAAATATGCACCAATTCTTAAAATTTAGAGTTGTATTTTTTTTTTGAAATAGGTATTGAAAACATCATAAGTTGTTTATCAAAATTTTTAAAAAAATAATAGCAATATAGAGCCAGTATAAAAAAACAATTTAAATAAATTAAAATATATTTTGAACATTGAGAAAAAAAAATTTAAATATGATTGATATAATATAAAACTTAAAAGTAAATCTTAACAATTTTAAATATATTTGTATGTATTTTTTTTATAAGCGCTACAGTTCGTAATGACCCTTGGCTTTCAAAACAGTTCTTCTCCACTGATTCCGTTCTTTCGCAGACTTGTTTAAGTTCTGTACATCCATCTGTAGTAGTTTGTTTTTCACTTCATCTCTTAGTCTGATCCTTGGACGTCCACGCCTTCTAGTTCCTTTTATTATTGTAATCATTACGTGATTGAGTGTTCTTCCCTGATTCATTATTTCCACATGGCTGAACCATCTCAATGAGCATAATTTTATGAGCATGGACCCAAGAGTTTCTTATAATATGAGTTGTAAAACCAATAATAATATAACTGACTTTGCTTGGAGTCTAAAACAATTTGTATAATTTCATTTTGGTTCGTTGTATTTATAGGAAGAAAAACTGTTTGCGTTAAAATCCATAATAATGAGCCTAAGTAACGAGTTCAGAAAAGTACAAATAAATCAAGCAAAATTGAAATTGGCCAGAGAAATTATTGAAAAATACAATGAAAAGCTTATTATTTGTGTGGTACTTTAAACAATAAATTGATACATAGGTGATATTCAACCTTTTAGAATATTTAGCACAATATTTTATTCGTACAGTGCAACAAGACGCCGTATAATATAAATACTGATACATATATCAAAGTGAAAAAACAAGAAATAAAACAGATCGCGTTGCAAAACAAGTAATAACTAAAAATTATTATCTCACTAAATTTAATTATCTCTTCTTTTTCTTCATCTCTAGCTGAACAGCTTTTCAAGAGCCTTGTCACCATCAAAACTTCCTCCCGCATGTCTCTATAATTAATACATTCTTTATAATCAATATTTTTCATTTTTTATAGAGCTTCTTTAATTCCGTCTTCAATGCTTCTGTGATGGCCATTTCAAGGACATTTAATTCCGTCTTAAAATCACGCTACGTAACAAATTTTTGTTTAGCAGGGACAGCTCTGTGTTGTTAGTTTTAATACAAGAGTGAATTTACCAATTATCAAATTTAAAGATAAATCTGTGTCATTTTACCGTTTATTTCGTAATTTTAATTTTAAAGCGAGTTATTAGTGCGTGAAATATCACGATTTAAAAATGCTTTTATCTAGGTTAAAAATGCTAATAACGAAAAACACATGACTACGTGTTTTATCTTAATGTTTTATTATATGTCAATTCGCTTAAATATTAAAATTAATAGCACAGAGTTGTTCTTATGAAACGAAAATTCAATATTATAATCAGTAAAATATTCAAAGATTTTTGTAAGATAAATGTTAATAACAAAAACATAAATTTTTTTACGTTGTATTATATAAAAAGAGCACAATTTCTAAAAATAAGATTTTTCCAAAATAAAACTTTGCGAAAGGAAATGTTGTCTAGTAAGTGCATAAGAAGATCGGTTTTTGATTTGCTTTGTGGTTTTTTTAATAACTGAAAAAATCAGAAAAAAACTTATGCGCAAAATTTATGCGGATAAAATTTGTTTAGTTGATCAGACACGTTCTTAAGTTGTTTTCGAAAACAAGTCGATCATAATGTAGCAGTATTTTATACTCGTTCATACAGATATAAATTAAATGATTTTATGTAACCTACCTTCCCAACTTCCCATATATAACCGTTACACACACATCATCAATGTAGTTTTTTTTTTTTTTTTTATGTAGAGCAATAAATAATGAATTGAATAATATTATATTCGATCAAAATTGTGCCATTCAAAACAATCTCAAGACCGTATCTGAAATTAATAAATTAGAAAAGGCCTTAATGGATAAAAAAAGAAAAATCGAAGTGAGTAATAAGGAAATTAAAATAAAATATGCGCTTTAAAATTAAAATAAAAATAAATACAGGAATATGATGTTGATAACAACGAAGATGTAACGACCCAATTGAATAAAACGAACGAAGAAATCGAAACGATGGAATTGCTAATACAAGAACGTAAGCAACTTTTGTTCGATTGCAACGAAAAGGTAATAAGTTATAAGCTGTAATTTAATACATTTTAATATTTTCATGTGAAATAATTGTTATTCGATTATAATGTAGTTTACCGAAGTAGAACTCGAGACCAAAGAAATAACCTATCAAACTCAAGAATTAGAGGATTTGGTGAAACAGCTATCTAGCAATTATCACTATAACTATGATAATTTAAAAGTAAGCATAAATTAAACAATATTATAATCGTGATCAAATCGAATTATATTTATTATCTATTAATTTAATCTTCAAGAGAACGTGCTACTTTTTGCATTCAAGTGATAGCGCGTAAGTTGTTTTCTCAACACTTTTGGAAAAATTAAATTTTATCAATGTAATAATATTTAATTTAACTTTCAAAAACGTATCACGTCAATAATTATTGTGTAATCGTCAAATTAACAAAAACATTAACGAAGAAACCGTTTAGTGCTAGTATACTCAATATTTAGAAAACAAATATTCACCATAATAAAAATGAGAAATTGCATTGTGCTTTGTTGATGTCCGTCAGTGTTGAGCATTATCCAGATAAATTATCTAAATAATTGAATTAATAAATAAATATATATATAACTATCCGAGAAATTAAAAAAATTGAACTTGATAATTAAAACCCATGTCTCATTAGTAAATTAACATTGTACAAATAGAGAAAAAAATTAAAAACATAAAGTAATAGGTAATAATATTATCCAGGTCGATTATTTGTGTTATTTCTAAATTCTAACAGAAATTGTGGATTGTAGAATCTAGTATAAATTGACAAAAAATTTGTAGATTAATTAATAAAATTAAAATAATTTTCTCTTTTTTTTTTATCCAGATAACTAGTGTTTTATCTTTTATCTTTATCTAGATACATTTTTGGTACATCACTGGTGTTAGTTTTTTAATAGTATTACTATGAAATAAGTTATTTAAGTTTGAAAAACATAAAATTATCAGAATTTTGAATCATATATATGATTATAAAATAGTTTTTTTTTATTTTGTAATATTGTGGAAAAATAAAATCAACATTATGTAAGAGTAAGTTCTCAATTTTTTACGATGTAAATTTAATTTCATAGTTTTATTAGATCTATAGCCCGGAGTAGTTTTTGTATGCGAAAAATAGTTTATACATTCGAATGACGGGTGGCAATACGCCCTCTTAAGAATTCGTGGTATTTGATTATTGTATTTTTTCAAAAAATACCAATTCTTTAGTTATTAATTTTCGAATTTTTGTTAATTCATTATAATAAATCATATTTACAGTCCTGTTACAAAGAACAGTTGGAAGAAATGGTCGCACTGCCGATCGTTTTGAAAGCGACGCACATTAAATTACAACAAGAAACCGATTTGCGAGTGTTGGCGGAAGAAAATAGAGACCAATTAGAACGAGAAATAAAACAGGTGGATACGATAATGAGCATCTAGAGACAGCCGAAAGCAATTTTTTCTTATTAGTTACTATACTTACTAGGTAGCTAACACCTGGGCCCATGTTGCCGTTAAATATTGTTATATGATGGAGAGAACTCCGAAGAAAAGAGAAAATTACCGAACCTTCCCTCCAAAAAAAAAAAAATTTAAAAAAAACTAGCTTATCAAAATAGTAATATCTACATTGTGGACTAATCTGTTTTATGCCTTGTTCAGAATCTGGCCCTATGTTAATAAAAGTACAAGCGGTTTTTTTTTTATTTTATGAATTTAGAAATTAAGTGAGGATATGGACTACAGAAACAAAAGACTTGACTTGCAGAGAAAATCTGAAACTTGGGCCATTCATAGTTCGGTTTTTATTGGGTTTCATCAACATGGTTTATTTAAATTTTAAAAGCATTCCATAAAACCATGAAATAAATGTTTTAAAAATCAATGTCTCGATGTTTTACTCTGGTGTTGTATTAATCGATTCATATTTTTACGATAGAAGACTTTTTTTAAACATAGTTTTTACATTTTACTTTCATAATTAATTTTAACTTTTTTTTTTTGTTCACGAATTTAAATAAAGAAAATAATACGTATATGAAAATAAATAAGACAAATACTTGGCAATGATAGTATTATAAGCATATTTTATAAATCATTCCAGAAACATTCTAGGAAGTTTTTGAATAAGAATACAATTTTAATCCATATTATAATTTGCTTTTCTATTTTTTTGAGTATTATTTTTATTTAATTTTGTAAATAATTTAATTTATGTATCATAGGTGGAAGCCGAAAATATGAAAAGTCCAATTAAAAATGAAGACTTGAATGAGAAAATCGAAAAACTCGACAACCAAAACAAAGAGATCGAGTATTTTTTCCAAATATCACATCGTTTATGAAATGGTTTTTTTTTTAAAACTTAAACGCATTTACAGGTCGAACATTAACACCATGCTTGAAAGCATCAAATTAGTCACAGCGAATGTAGACCAGGACAGTCAAGAATTGGACGCCGTAAATAAATCGGTCTTGAATGCAGTCATAGAGAGTGACCAGCACATAAATGCGTTCAAAAATTTCTCAAAGATACACTTGGACAAAATTACCGGTGATCTGAAAGCGATTGAAGAACTGTTGATAGAATTGCAAAGCAAAGAATGCGAGAAATCTATTGTTAGAAAAACGGTAAGAATATGTGCAGTGTGTTTTTCCTCAAAGTTGAGTAAATGCCATTTGAAATATTGTATTATTGGTTGAGTGTAAATGTAAATAATACAAAATTTAGTAGACCAAAATAGAAATAGTTAAGAAGAATACAGAATTTACATTTTTTACCAAATTATTTGCTGAAAATAATAACTCAAGTTGCAAAAACATGTCGCACAACTGAAAGCTTGTTTATATGAAAATTAAACTGAATTATTTAAAAAGATTGCAAAAATAATATATGTATGTTATGTATATACAATATATATACAGTATGTCCCACCATGTTCAATGGATTTTTCTAAAGCTATGATTAATGTTAAATATTTTTCATTTTTTTTTTTTTTTTTTTGTAACGTTTTGCGTAATCACGTTTTACATTGACAACAAAATAATCAACATTATTATCAAATTTGAAATATTGATTAGATCGAAAAGGAAAAAATAACTAATTATTACAGTTTAGATTCGGAGTATTGCAAGAATTCCATTGGTTTTATGTGTAGTCTTATTTTATATTTTTACGGCTTGTGTTTTCTATCAGAAATATTATTTCGAAAGAAAAAATAATAAAAGACTTTTTTAGTTGAATTTTTTATATAGTTAGTGAGTAGAAAAGTCGTTTTTTGATTTTTTATAATAATTTATATAGTTTTCATAATAATTGAGAAAATCCAAAAAAAAAAAAAACCTAGAAATAACTGGGCAATTTACGAAAATAATACTTTTATATTGTAATTGAATTAAAAATTTCCGTAGAGATTTAAAATGTTGAAAAATCTTCTTTTTTTTTTTTTAGATTTTGTAAAAACAATTANAATTAAAAATTTCCGTAGAGATTTAAAATGTTAAAAAATCTTTTTTTTTTTTTAGATTTTGTAAAAACAATTAATTTCGTCAAAAAAAAATTTAATTGAGTTACATGTAGCATTTTTTTTTTTTATAAGAATTTTAATATAAAATTTTGACGTAAATAAAAAATGTTATTATAAAATTGATTTTTCAAAACACGTACGACCAAATTTCAATTCGAATCGGATTTCGTTAGCAATGGTTGCTTACAAATATAAATTAAATAACTTTATATACCTATCCTACCTTCCCAACTTCCCACCTACCACACTGACAAACCCGTCTCCAATAACAACTTTTTTTTTTTAACAAGTTAGATATTTGAATATATTTTTAAGTAACACATATGTTATTCAGAAATGTATTCTGATTTTAAACCAACCGATTTAGTTTAAAATTATTAACAGTAGCTTATCGACTTGATTTAAATTTAATAATTTTTTATTAAACTATTCAGTTTTTTATAACTGAATATATCAAAACTTGCAGCATAATATTCAATCGATTGCAATGTCATTGTTCAATTGATAATATTGAATCGTGTTTTTCAGGTGATGGATCATCTAAAAACTCAATTATATTCGACCAACAGCAACGTAGAAATGTGTATGAAAGAAATGAATAGTATTAAAGACCAAACGGATTGCTGAATTTAAATCGGTATTATTAATAATTCAATATCGAAACCGATTTGAGTAAATTTATATTAATATAAATTATCGTCATAAGCGGAAATTGGGAGGCTAACCACCTCGAATGTTATATTTACCCACAAAACACGTTCGTATTAAATAAAGTAATACTATTAGTAGTTTAAATTTGTATGTTCTATGTCGCAGCAAAACGCCCCATGAAATCGATGAATTTGGCCTCTCTGATTTAGCTACTTTTTAATATTTTTTTTTATTTTTCGAATTTTTTGTAAATAAAAACATAGTTTCAGTTAAATTTTTATATTTTATTTTTTAATATTCACAAAACCATACAATTTTTAATAATTTTAATTTATACAAAATATAACAAATAAGTTTTTCTTAAATACTATTATACAAGTTTTCTTACTTTTCTAGTTAATGGTACATATTCTACAACACGATCATGAATTAAAATACAATAAGCTGTTACACCTTTTAAATTTGCAGAGGCTTCTATTTCCAAACTTACATCAACTGAAGAAGCTATTGCTGAATCATTTTGTTTCGAAGTTTCAATAACAACAATCGGTTCCCAATCCAAAAACCGTGTTGGACTCAATATAGGACTTTGCACTCCGTTTTCATAGTTAGACTCTTAAAACGATGCATACATATCATACAATAAGAAGACATTTTTTTTTACTAAAATCTAAATTCAAATCGTTATACGGATACATAACAGAATTTAAATATACTGTCACATTTGTTAAATTACAATGCTCGAATTTACTATAAGCTTCGCTATTTTTCTGTAATTCTGTAATGTCTTGAATGAAGTATCAAGAGTTTCTTCCGGTTATACAATTTCCGTATGTACATAAAATATGAATATTAAATTTTAAAGAAGATTTCAAACTAATCTCTTTTAGTTTTAAAATAATTAGAGGAGAAATAGTATTGAAAAAAAAAAAAATATTGAAATCAATAGTCTGGTCTTTTTTTTTCAAGAGTCTGCTCCGGTATATATATCGAAATGTATAGGTATGTCCCACCGTAAATGTAAGTAAATATATAATATAAGAATATCCGTAATCGCTCGGAGTTGGGGTTATGAATTGGGGTTAACAACTTCCTGATCAAATTTATTAAGCAGAGTTGTTTCTTTAGCTAGCGCAAACGTATTACACAAATTTCACTAACAATAGTGAAAAGGGGGATCTAATAGTGTATAACGCGCGTTCGTATCGATACGAAAATCGTTCGAGTTTTCCACCTTCAAGATAAATTATCTCGTTGTTGTAAACTCTAAATTGATTTTGTTTTGCGAAAAAATATTATTTTTTTATTATATAATATGAACCAGTTAAGCGAGCAGACCGATTTTGAAAACACCACCAGCGATGTAGGTTTATTATTTATAGTTTAGAATTTTTCAGAATAAAAACTAGTATTATTTTCAGGGTGATACAAACATACCGTTAGTCCAATCGGTTATAAAAACCGAAACAAAAAGAAATTTGAATAGAAAGCAGCCAAAAGACACAAAAAAAATGTATTAAAAATCAGTTAGACTTGTGCAAAAAGTAAAATTTATAAAATTTTAATTACATCGAATATTATATTGATATTATAATTTTATATTTCAGTCGGATAATGTCTATGGAAATATTTTGCAAAAGGCGGCTACGATGAAACAAAAAAAGCGGAACGAAATTCGCTATTTATAAAAGATGACAACAAAACCATTTGTGGAAGTAGCCAGTCGAAAAACAAGTAACCGATTATTGGGCAATACATCATTACCGTACATGGAAAAGGCCGCGCCTAACGAGCAGTAATTTTAAATTTGGCTACAATAAGACGTGTAAAATATGTATTATATTTGTATAGATTTTTAGACGGAAAGTAGCAAAACGCACTTTAAAATTGAAAACCAATGAGAATGGAGCTAAAGACCAGTAATTTATTTCATAAATAAACGAAACGATACTGGTGGGGCTGGAAAGATTTACCGATGATCCGGAAACATCTTCCAGCACTTATGGAATATAAATATTGAACAATTGTATTTAATTTATATCCATTATATATTATATTACGCCATACTATTATTTTGTAAATATATATTATTATATATGTATTTGTTGAATACTATTATTTTAATTACAGAAACATTATTATAACATATTATACCTACCACCTACATATTATTTTTGAAAAAACACTACTTTGAACTATTGAATATAAAAAAAAAAAAAAACAAAAAATGTATACTGAACCGTAAGTTTATATTGTGCTTTGAACTTATGTTATTATTATTTGAAAAAATAAAAATATTACTAATAATCATAAAAGTTTTCGTTTAATGAAAATTTGTGAAGTTATACGGTGAATGAATGTTTGCGATAAGAATGGGTTAGCGTACGGATGGCATGGTTCCGGTGTCTTTTATGTTCCTTACCTCCCTCAAACTTATTGAGAGATAGGGATGTGCGTCGCTATAATATCTATACAACATCAAAAAAACATTATCTAAATCCGTTTGTATGGTGATTGTAATGCGAAGAATAACATGACGACGAATAATTTAATACGTAGATAACGATAGATCTTGGAAATATATTTATGACTTATAAACAATATTTGAAACAATTGAGCACACACACTATACTAATAATTAAATTTGCTTATAATAATTTTTAAAATACAATAATACATTTTAGTGTTACATTTTTAACCACACCAGTTGATAGCTGAGGGTCTTGAGTCTCTAAAAATGGGAAGGAAAATGTGGACAATGCTAATGATGCCGCAATAAATTGTAACGAGTTAATGTAATACGACCCACGTCAGCTTGTAAGGTTATTTGTTACGTTTTTCGAGTTAATTGAGTAACAACAAAAGTTTTTGCGTATTATAACCCGTTTTGCGTTTATATCCATTTTGTTCAGCATCACATTAAATTGATCTTCGTTGAGACAATTTTGCTATTTGATTAAACCCAAATAAAATATTCGTTTACTTGAAATGCAATCAAGTAAAATAAAAATTGTGATTTGTTTATCAATTGAAAAACCGACGGTTACATTATTTTTCATTGGAAGGATGTATACTGAAAACTAACTTCTTCACTATTGCAGCTGCCATAGTTTGATAATGTACTGCTGTAGTATTAACGTCAAATATTCTATTTACCGAAATTGTATCGGTTTATAAAGTCTTAAAAATTAAACATGTTATAACTTGTACAAGTATAACCTTGAAATTTAATCACGTTATGATCTGCGCTAGTATAAAAACCTGTTTTTAATGTATATCTAAAAAAAATAACCGTGGATGATGACGCACTTACCGTACAGCTACAAATTAAATATTCTACACGGTCAATTTTGTTTTTTAAATACCTAATAGATTAACCTTTCCCGCTTTAACTATAAATGAAACCTATTATGCTGTGTTTTATAAATCAGCCGCATTAACCCACTAAGCCATCATACCACATGAAATAAAACAGTGTAAATATTTATTGAAATAATACAATTTATTAAACACATAATAATTATTATAGTTACAAATTAATCGACTGTACCATAACCTTTATGGCTAAAACCGCAGTCACATACGACTTTTTGCTTTTCACGGATAGCATAGTCCACGAATTGTTATTTTTTAGATTCTGAGTGGAGCGAATATTTTCTATCAGAAAGCTTACTCCGATTATCAAGTATAGCAATCTGTAAGAAAATGCTCTCTAGGTGGTACTCTGGAGAAGTCATTTTTTTTGAAATTCTCATTTATATTCGAGATAATGAAGAAAACATGGTTCTTTAATTAAAAAAATATTGATAAATATATAAGATTAAAAATGAAGTTATTATCAACCTCTTTTATTTATTTTTTTATTATTATTAAGTTTTTATTATTTTAATATTTTTTCAAACAATCATTATTGTTACAAAAACGTATATTGTTGCAATCATCATAATATGACATATTTATTGTTAACAAAGCAACACTTTCAACAGAACTCCGCTCAGAAACGTTTTTTCGTTAGCAATGGTTTATTTTTGCTTACAGATATACACTCGACGCATCCGTCTATAGACGGATACATCCTACTTTCTCAACTTCCCACCTCCAACAGTAGCTGCACCCACGTGCGAAGTATGTCCCTCATTTTTATTTATACGGATATAAATGTATTTACTTGTACAATTTATTTAGGTACTTAAATTACAGGTACCTAACCTGGGCACCAGAACCTGAAACGTTACAAATATAACATCCGTCCACGTGACAAATGTATATAATAATATGATATATTAGGTATTAGATATACTCTCTTGATGTTCAATCAGATGTGTATTTATTGTAAGATAATTTTAAGATAATAAGATAATAATATATTGTTATTATTTTGATCTTGTATGGATATTATTTCTATTCAAAATGCGTTTTGGATTTTTCTCGACTCAACGTATACAGTTACGTTTTTGAGTACGTCAACAGATAGCATTGGTTGTTACACGCGTTGTTAGAATATTCGACTATACGCATTGGGTTGTCCAAACTCCAAACTAACCGGTAAATATTTTATCGAACTCATCGAGATCGCGCTATATATTCGAATTTGTCTAAACAATATTATTATTATTACTACTTTACTATTGGAAGGTTATATGTATAATATGTTTATATATGTATATATATTAATATGTAAGCATGTACATTAGGGTGTTCCATATTTTTTGAATTTAAATATTCGATGACGAGTACCCCAAATTTTGTTCTATGTATTAAAAAAAAATTATGATAAAGTTTTAGTGCGATTAGTCAACCTCTTCACATGCCTTAAAGGGGAAAATTTAACTATTATCTTAGTACTGTACCTACATTACTTACAATGTATGCTTTTTCATAAATAAAAATAGCTAAAAGTTAATGTTTTAGGAAATTAAATTAGTTTTTGGGTTTTTACCTTTAATCTTTTAAATTTTAAAATTAAATAGAAATCG